GTCCCGTTGTTTCATGCTGTCCGTGATAAAGTCAGTCCAAAAAGTCATTGCCTAATTTCCTTGATTTCGATCCCGTGAAACTACGCTAGCCGCAGGTTCAAAGACGAGTCATGCACTTATGCCTTTATAGACGCTTTAGAAATCGGCCAACAGTATTATTATTAGCCATGTCCGCTGACATTCGCATGCTGCGATATGTCACGTGAAGAGCACGAAAGCACCCCTAGACACCTTCATACCGTTCTACGGTCTCTTTCATCTTCATAATAATCAAATTAAGACACCATACAAAAAACAAGATCTCGTGTGTAGTGCTCGCAGGCATACTAAACCAAGATGTCGTGTGGCACATGCCAGACATCATATCTTGCGTTTGCAAACACACGCAAAGTCGGTAAACAGCTCAAAACGGGCTAAAAGTAAGCACCCGGACTTCCCCGGTGGTCACCCACCCGAGTACTACCCGAGCTTGAGGCTGCTTAACTTCACAGAGCAGACGGGATATGGTGCTTTCAGCCTAAGATGGCCGTCTACATTTGACTTTGACCGACACACCTATTAGTGTTTATCACTCGTATACATTGGTACAACACATTTACACACTCACATGTCCACATACGTGGCCATAGACTGCACACGATGGCCCCCAATACCCCTTCTGGCCCTCAGAATTGGCTGGGTGGATGGCTACACTTTATATAGTAACAAAACAAAAAGGGGGGTGGTGTGGCGCACTCCAATACAAACGTGTGGCCAGCAGCTCACTCCTACAACGCAGCATACGTATTCTCTCCGATAGGAACCCCACACAGACCGACACCTTCATACACAGCAGTGCAGATAGCCGCCGCACCCCATATTTGCGCATACGCGGCCTGGAAACAATGTTAAACCACCAAAGTGGCCATTTACGACTTGCACAACCATACCTACGCTTCCTATGCGACATGACATGTGCACGTACGCGTCTTAGGCAATATGAACACCTTCGACACCTTCATACATGCACAGCGCGCGCTCCGCTTAAGTACGACACCAACTTGTCATATACATCATGCGTTTCCTCCCGTCACCTTTCATCACCTCCATATTCACACCCATGCGCCGTCACCTTCCTCGCGCCATCACCTTCACCATTTTCACCTCCATATCCGCGCTTCCTCCGCCGTCACCTTCCGCGTACGCGTCCATATTCGCTGCGTTTCCTCGCGCTTCCTGCCTGTTATTAATCCAAGCCAAAAACATCTCCAAACCCATACAATTAGAACAGCAAACAACTTCGCATTTTTTCACAAAGTCCTCAGCTTCATTTTGCATACTTTATCCTAGTCTAATTCACGCTATTCCGCTCTCTTTAACATACTTAAACTAAGTCTAATTCACGCTACTCTGCTCTCTCTAACATACTTAAACCAAGTCTAATTCGCGCTATTCTGCTCTCTTTAACATACTTAAACCAAGTCTAATTCACGCTATTTCGCTCTCTTTTAACATAGTTAAACCAAGTCTATTTCATGCTATTCCGCTCTCTTTAACATAGTTAAACCAAGTCTAATTCACGCTATTTCGCTATCTTTTAACATAGTTAAACCTAGTCTATTTCATGCTATTCCGCTATCTTTAACATACTTAAACCAAGTCTAATTCACGCTATTTCGCTCTCTTTTAACATACTTAAACCAAGTCTATTTCATGCTATTCCGCTCGTTTTAACATAGTTAAACCAAGTCTATTTTATGCTATTCCGCTCTCTTTAACATAGTTAAACCAAGTCTAATTTACGCTATTTCGCTCTCTTTAACATAGTTAAACCAAGTCTAATTTACGCTATTTCGCTCTCTTTTAACATAGTTAAACCAAGTCTAATTTACGCTATTTCGCTCTCTTTTAACATACTTAAACCAAGTCTATTTTATGCTATTCCGCTCTCTTTAACATAGTTAAACCAAGTCTAATTCATGCTATTCCGCTTTTTTTAACATAGTTAAACCAGGTCTAATTCACGCTATTCGCTCTCTTTTAACATACTTAAACCAAGTCTAATTTTACGCCCTGCCGTCTAGCTTGCCCTGTTAAACCCCCATACTAAAATCTCCGATTTTGGCTCAGAAATCATTAGCGCTGGCACTTAGCGATTTTCACGCAAAGTGTTTCTCGCTTTCTGCCTGTTATAAACCCGATACTAAGGTCGCCGAATTTGGCTCGGAAAACAATAGCAGCGGCACTTAGCGATTTTTGCGAACAAACCTCACTAAGCCAAAACAAAGACTTTGACGATCTTAAGCTTAACAGTATTAACTCTCTACCAGCACTTTGACCGGTTACTTTCGCCGCCCCATAGCGAAAGTACTTTACTTTAACGCAGCCTTATTTCGACTGCTTAACTTTATAGTTTTAACATTGCGCGTTTGCAATTGGGGGGAGAAATGTTCATTTCTGAACAAATCAATAGAACAAGGGCTAAATCTCAGCAGATCGTAGTACAAGACTACTCTCATGCTTACAACACCCCGTTCTGTAGTTAAGTCGTCTACAAAGGATTTATCTTTCCCAATATTTGAAATTACAAATCAGCCTACTCTCCACCGCCAGTACTTGACAGGCAGCGGAGTGCGTTGCAATTGTATGATGTTGGGTGTCCAGAAGACACCTATCGCTATTCGCGGCACATCGGGAAAGGTGATTATCGTCTATTCCAGCATGGATTCTGACTTAGAGGCGTTCAGCCATAATCCTACAGATGGTAGCTTGGCGGCACTAGCTTTTCAGCTAACCGCAGTTACCAATTATCTGAACCAACGGTTCCTCTCGTACTGGGTTGGATTACTGTTTAGACAACGAACTCATCAGTAGGGTAAAACTAACCTGTCTCACGACGGTCTAAACCCAGCTCACGTTCCCTATTAGTGGGTGAACAATCCAACAATTGGCGAGTTCTACTTCGCAATGATAGGAAGAGCCGACATCGAAGAATCAAAAAGCAACGTCGCTATGGACGCTTGGCTGCCACAAGCCAGTTATCCCTGTGGTAACTTTTCTGACACCTCTAGCTTAAAATTCAAAAGAACTAAAGGATCGATAGGCCACGCTTTCACGGTTTGTATTCATACTGAAAATCAAAATCAAGTGAGCTTTTACCCTTTTGTTCTACATGAGATTTCTGTTCTCATTGAGCTCACCTTAGGACACCTGTGTTATCATTTAACAGATGTGCCGCCCCAGCCAAACTCCCCCTACCGGTCAGGTGGTGCAGTGGTTAAACACTGGGCTTCTGATCGGGAGGTTGCGGGTTCAAACCCCGGCGCGTCGGAAAATTCCGATTCGCTTAAGTACGAATTCGTGGCCGCAAAACCGACTGGGCCATAGGGTTGCAGCCGGTAGTTGATGTGAAGCAAGCGTGCACAAGGTACGCCACGGAGACGCAAATCCTGTAAGTTATTGATAGCAGGTCTTACGTAGAAAAGGATTGTAATAAAGAATCTACCTTGGGTAGAAGGAATTTACCCAGCCAAACTCCCCCATTCCGAATTTGCCGGCTCGAGCACAAGTGCCCGATCCTGCCCCGTCTTCACACAAGAAGACCTTCCCCGCCGCCGCCGTCCTCGTCAGTCCTCCCTGCGGAGCGCTGCCGCCGTCGCCAAGCCTCGCTTCCGCCGCCCCGTCAGTTCCTCTTCGCAGAGTGCTGCCCGCCGCCGAAGCAACTCGCCGCTCCCGACAGTATCTCTTCACCGAGTGCTGTCACCTGCCGCAACCAAGCCGTCGTCGCTGAAGGCTCTCCTCGCGGAAGTCTCACGCCTACCCGGTTCTCTACTCCAGTCCGTGACTTTGGTCTGTACCTGCACGTCCACAAGCCGAGTGTCCCACTGCTGCTCCGCAGTACGTGCGTTAAGTCACTAGGGCGGTTGTTTCTCTCTTTACCGAAAGCAACACCGTTCTCCCCCTTCCTTAGGCGGGTGCTCGTGGGCCTGTACAGTCCGCTTGAAGTCCTTGTTGGTGTTAGTTGGATTCGCTCCTTCTACTCAGCTCAAGCTACCTTATACTAGGGTGTTGTTTCCTCACTGGTCGCGTTGATCCCGCGTTTGCCGTAAGGTCCTTTGAGGAGAAGTTGTGGGCAGTTCTTGCTCCCACCGTAGTTGATCTGCTTTGCTGCACCTACATCTATCTGGTAGATATGGTTACCATCTCGCGCGCTCCCACGGCGCAACTCCAGGCTCGCCCAACGCAACGGCAGGCCCGGCCTCCTCGTCAAGCGAATCGACCACCCGCGCCCAACCGCTCGGTCCCCGACGACAACGCCTTCGAAGAGAGCATTGCCCGCTGCAACGACCCGAACGCTTCCGAAGAAGAACGCTGCCAGAAAGCTCTTGCGACACTTCCAACTGAGGTCGACGCAAAGAACTGCACGCGTATGTGGATTCCTGCTGCACGTTTGACAGCCGAACGCAACATAGACGAGTTGTGCGTGTCTCTGAAGGCAGACTATCAGCCAGAAATCTGGCGCAAGTACCTCCACCAGGGATGTGTCCGCGATTTTGTCCGTATTCCGCATCAAGGGATCGGCTTCGTCTGTACGTCTGAAGAGGCGCTCCGCTGTCTTGGTGGTGTCACACTAAAGGTGTGTGACACGCTTGTCACGATCCGGAAGTATTCTCTATTCGACAAGCTGTACTACGTGGATCTTCAACGTCTCCCGTTCAACGTTTCCGACCGCGACATCTACAACTGGTTCGTCAGCCGCGGTGCCCGTCCGGTTCTGATTACGGCCACGCACGACCATGGGATGCTCAAGTCGCGCGCTCGCACCGTCTACTTCAACTCGGTGGCATGCCCACAAGGGCTATTTGAACCCAACGGCGAGCCGTTGCGAGAAGTCTTCTTCGATCCAGCTGACAAGCCCTGCTTTGTACAGCATCGGATGTTCAAGTACAACCGGGTTCGACCCCCGTCCCTACGCCCATCTCCGCGTCGACCCTCCGATGTCTCCGACGCTAGTATGCGCACTGATGACGCCTCAGCGTCGCCGCTCGCGGATGGCACCCTGGTTTCTTCGTCTGCTCCTGTGGGTCGCGTTTCCTTAACGCCATCTGGTCCTCGCGTGCCTTCGTCAGGATCCACGGCACCTGATTCTTCAACTGACTCTATGCTAGTTGATCATTCGTCTGGATCTGCGCCACTTAGAAACCTAACGTTCGGGAACCCTCTGCTCGTCTG